AGGAGGACGAGGGGTGGCAAGCCCTCACCACCTAGCGCCCGCGACATTGCCGGCAACACTAGCCCAATCGGGGCCGTTCCACTCCCTCTCCTCGCGCAGACAGCGGAGGACGACGTCCTTCCTGTCTCGGATGTAGTCGAGCTGCGCTCCGAAATGCCTCTTGACGTTTTCCAACCCCGCACCCTGCTGCTGCTGCGACGACGACGACGTCGTTCCAGCAGCAGCAGCGGAGGCGTCCTTGGAAGGCAAGCTGGGCGGCAGTTCGAGGAACCCGCCAGCGCCAGTGGAGAGGATCGAGTGGTGCGACGGTGGTGTCTCGTCGAGCGACGATGGGTTCGAAGAGAGCGAGTCGAGTCCGTTTGAGATGAGCTCGACGAGCGAGTTGATGTACTTTGGCGCTACGGCTTCCACTTGTTGCTCAAACTGCCCGTCGTTGGCGCACCCGTCGAGGCGAGGCGAGGCGAGGCGAGGCGGCGAAAGGGGCCAGGAAGCGGGAAGAGCAGAGCAAAGTGTCAGTCTCTGAGAGCACGGTGGAGCGGCAGAGGGAAAGAGGAGAGGGCGCCCGAGGACCGGACCGCACCGGACCGGACCGACACGCACGTAGTAGAGGTACTGGTCGAGGGCCGAGCAGAAAATCTCGACGGTGCTCCGCTCGTCGATGCAGCTGTTGGCGATGCGCAGCGACTTTTGCAGGCACTCGAGCACGCGCTTGCCGTCCCGGAGAAGCGGCTGCGGTTTGGTCGGACGGGCATAAGAAGAAGAAGAGACGGAGGGAGAGGGGAAAGAAGAAAGTGGACGGTGCCAGGTGGTCAGTGAACTGGCGTGTAGCGCGACAGCTGCCTCTCTCACCCGCCCACTCACCTTGTCCTTGGTCGCGGGCCGGCCGACGACCTCCGTCTGCCACCACAGGTGGCTGGCCATCATGACGGCGGCGGCCTGGTGCGGCTTCTTGAGCAGCTTGGCGCCGTGCAGCGCCGCCTTGGTGATGAGCGTGTCGTAGTTGTCGGTGCCAAACACGCGCGCCGTCTGGAGCGTCGAGATAATCAGCCCAATGGCCTGCAGCTGCGCGCGGCTCTCGCTGATCGACTCCTCGTAGATGGTGAAGCTCTGCACGTAGAACTCGTACGACAGCTCCTCGAAGCCGCTCTCGTCGGCCGACTGCGCCGCCAGCAGAAACAGGCGCAGGCACACCTCGGACGACTCGACCCGGTTGTAGAGGATCGAGATGACTTGGTGCGTAAACTTGTAGAGCGTCAGCATCTTGGCCTCCCACCCTTGCTCGCGCCTCTCGCGCAGCTTGTACCGCCGCGCCAGCTTGAGCGCCGACACGATCAGCGGCGGCAGCGTAAACTTGATCCGCTCGCCGCCCTCGACAAAGTGCTTGCGAGCCATCTGCAGCAGGCTGAACTGCGTCTCGAGGTCGTCGGCGCGGAAGAGGTGCACCATGCGCGCCATCCACCCCTGCTCCTCGGCCATCTCCTCGAGGTCGTACTGCATCATGTGGTGGCGGCCCATGCCGCCGCGGTAGCCGCCGCCGCCACCGCCGCCACCGCCGCCACCGTACATGCCGTGCGCCATGCGAGGGTCGTGCCCGTGGTGGCCGCCAGGGT